CTAACAATGTGTTACTATGATCAATAATGGACAAAAGGCCACATAATTTGCATTGGAATGACTGCAATTCTAACTGTTGTATCTACGAATGGGTTTCATACAAAATTAAACAGATTTTCCGATGTGATCAACACTAGCTGTTACAATTAGAATTGGCTTCTGTAACCAAAAGTCTATGGCTTAAGCTAGTGAAAAGCATGAGTGGGAATATGGACCGGAGCCACTCTTTGGTTGCTAGGTCATAGCTACCCATGAATTTGGCTACGCCTGCTGAGTTTGCTGTAATCAGATTCTCTAAAGACTCCTTTTACAGTCAATACATCTTACGCCAAAGTTAGTTTCCATGGATTCTTATTCACGGTTCAACGCTCAGCTTCACCTTCCATCTCTCCGCTGCATCCCTACCCTTTCCTCATTGCTCACTTGTGACTAGTGTAACAGTCAGACTCCAGGTAAGGTTTGACTATTTCTGCAAAAAGAAAATGTATTTTCCATTGTGCCTCTGTCACTTAACCAAACAGGGTTAAGTGACAGAGGCACAAGCACTGTTAAATAGAACAGTGCTTGTGCCTCTGTCACTTTCTACCTATACTATATATGTTTACCCCGCATTTTATACTTCGCGTTGGGAGTATAAACCTTAGAATTTTATATTCACACAATTTAAATTCTCTTAAGGGGCATTCAGACCGGACTATGCGTTGCGTCGCCTTTCAATGTCGTGTCAATTAGGGGTGGGAACCTAAGGGTACCTCACGATACGATACGACACACGATACAAAACTCACAATAACGATATTACGATAACAATTTTATCAGGATATCACAGTTATCGATATATTGGCCAGATATATACAATATGCCAATTTATGGCATAAATGAAAGAAAAAATACACTTTATTTCATGATAAATTAAATGGAGATGCGTAATGTAGCAATATATAATGTATTGATACCAATTTTTTTTTTTTTATTGTACAACAAAAACAAAATATATATATATATATATTTTTTTTAATCGATATTGATACTTGGCAAATGCATATTGATAATCGAATCGCGGGAGAAAGTATCGTGATATATCGATATATCGTCACACGCCCTTAAGACTATGTGCGGTGAGGCACGCAGGTTTGTCTGGTGCGGAAGACATGTTGTTGCAGAGCAGCAGAGGCATGGTCAAGACAAAAGCCGGTCAGAGCAAGAAGACAAACACACACATAAACAGGCAAAACAAGAGCTAAACCAGGATTAAACAAGGCCTAAACAAGTGTTAAACCAGGACTGACAACGATGGACACATTGCTTGTGAACATATGCACACACTAACTGTTGTCACTTTCTTTGTTCTGAAATTTACATTGAATTGTGGATGATGCCATTTTTTTCTTGCTATTCTTTTAACTTCTAAGCAGGACAGAGTACTACAGGATTGAAAACAGTAGTGTTCTTGTACTGTTTGAATCAATATTTACATTTCAAACGTAAAGCCTGTTTTGTATTTTGATCATATGCAGTGTTGGAGGAAGCCTTATGCCATCTGAATGACCTTTCTCTCTGTGTAGTCTGGGTGGGGATACGTACCATCCATGTGTGAGGTGTTAGGTGAGAGGCTGCCTCCATGTGAACGTACGGCTGCCTCTTGCGCTATAGTGTGTGTGTGTGTGTGTGTGTGTGTGTGTGTGTGTGTGCGTGTGTTAGCCTGTGCGCTGCTATCTGAGCCAGTGCAGGGTATCAGTGTCGCTCCAGTCTCCCCCACAGTCGGATTAGAAGCACCTCAGCGCACAATCACTCAGGCTCGGCTTAACCTGCAGGCACACAACAACACTGTTTACTTGTATTGGAGAAACATAGGTAGAAATTAATGTAGTTATTTTGATTTGTGTATCTATTGGGGAAGAAAATAAAGGAGACATAAGTTAACCAAGGTGCTCTGACACTAACATTGAGCTCCAAAAGACTCAAGTTTGCGTACAGTCTGTCCCTTTCGATGCTTTTGGTTAGGAATAAATTCATTATCACCTAATTGGTCAAAATAATGTGAGAAAATACTTTTTTGGGCTTGTTTAATTTTTGTTATAATACAATTTGATGAGAATGACTGTGTATTGTTAATAAAGGCTGCAGATTTTCATGTTGGAATCACTATCAAACGGGTGCCTTAGCTCAAAAAGGTTGGGGAACACACAAATCTGATATTCACTATAGTTTGATTATTCACTTTATCACTGGAAATAATCTTCAGTACTCTCCAGCACTTTCCCTATTGTCTGAGTGATGTGGAGTGGTCGAACTCGGTCTGTGCACTCCTTTCTTGTCCATGGGTTTATCATTTCATCGACTGCTCTTTCTATTTGCCCTCTGAGTCGTTTGCCCGGATAATTACGCCGTTTGCCTTTGGTTCCGTGGCCGGCATACATCTGAATCTGTCTGTCCCCACATCACAGGGTCTCCGCTGGGATCGCTGTTACACGCACACACGCGCTCCACTGCAGCTCTCTCATCCAAGGGAATAATGAGAAATATGGAAATGTGCTCCTCTGACTAACTCCCTATTAGTCTGTCCGTCCGTCTGTCCATCAAAGCTGCCCTCAACCACCAACTATTTGACACATTGCAATTCAGAGTCCAGCGGTCTGGCAGATCAAGCAGATAATATTAATTTAAAATGGCTTGCTGGTTAATACTTTAACCTGTCCTAAATGTAACATGACCATAGGAAGTTTGGGAAAAAAATAACTGTATAAATTAGAATTACATTGCATAACAATCGTGTATTGTGCTTTTTTTGGGAGCTGAAAGACGTTTAATTATGCATTCATCCCACGTTCGGTGGTGGTTATGCACTGTGGAAACAGCTGTCCTGGGGTACACTGACACAAGTACTTAATCTGCACCGTTGGTCCTTCCCACCATTCCCAAACATATACACAGTTATATATATAATTTTTACACACAATGTGGATGAATCTTAATATGAACTATAGACTGTTTATTAGGAGTGGACTTACCGAGTGCTGAAGTCACCCACTTACTTGAATCTTGGAACTGAAATATACCTCATTGGGGCATCTCTATCACTTGATTTTAACTTTGGGGGGTTCTCTGGGAGTACAGGTGACGGGGTCATTTGTTGAGAGCCGTTCGATCCCTGTATGACCCTCAATTCAATCCAATTTATATATTTGTGTATAGCCCTAAATCACAACACTTTACAAAGGTGTCAATTTTACAAAGTTGTCAACAAAAATAATGAACACATACAAACCATTGGTCCAGAGGGGGGAGATGACCAATGCTCATACATGTGAATAAATGTCCATACACCCGGATCATCCCCACTGTCCTTAGACCCTCCTGCATCGGCAACGAATCAATCACCCAGGCAGTAGAACAAAGACAGAGGGGGTGCAGCGGGCGATCCCAGCTTGGGAAGATAGTCCAATAGTGTAGATGGAAGAGGGGATTTATTCGGTTTGTTTCATCACGCAAACAATGGTTCAGTGGGTGAACAACATTGAACGAACCACAGACTAGAGCTGTGTTTGCATCACAAGGGGTTCATTAGGTTTATCTTATATTTACAACCAAGTTAAAACTTCTCACTTCAGACCAGCAGAAGTTCACTCAGTTATATTTCTTTCACAAGCATACATTATATATCTGTATATATATATGGATACTGTATAGACCCTCCACTCAAACCCCACTTTTTCCGAAACCCTTCCTTCTTATTCTGCTGCTACAACCCGCGGCAGTCTCCATGTTTTACAAGCGAGCCCGGCTTGTTAGTCCGAGTTATTGAGCCGAGCGAGACCTGCCAATCAAACATGCGCTGTAGAAGAAAGCACTGATAACAAAGAGGTCCAACTGCCTACCAAACCCAAATGAAGGAGTTCTGCGGGCTAAAACACCAGCCCCAGAGGCAACATGCACACAACTTTATCAGAACAGAGATGTGGAAGAGGAGACGACAATACCGTGTCATCATACCTAGCATTTGTTTTTGACTAATACAGCATACGAGCTGCGAGTTATTAGAAGTATTTAATCCTGCTAGAAAGGGGTTTATCTTAGAAATGTCTTTGAAAATTGGGGACAAGTAAACAAGTCCAGGGCAAGTTTGATGCAAAAACTCCCAGAAGCATAAATCTGAACCCAGACTGATATCTTCCAAATTAAAAAGATTGTTTCCATCTGTGTATGCTTGCTCACTTTGTTGTTCATCTTAAACCTGGGGGATCTCATTTTCTAACAACAGAGAATGTACCTACAGTATGTATTAAAATATATCTGACTAGTGTTGTAAAACAGTTCGGTCGACTGAGAGTTCACACAAACTTATTCTGTCACTGTAGTTTTTTTACATTTTGGCCCCTTTGGCCCCATTGGCCTTTGAGCCTGAAGGACGTGGGTTCGAACCAACCGCAAGACCCTCCCCACCGACTCCCACTGTCGTTGTGTCCTTCAGGAAAAGTAAACTTAGCCTGAAAGTTCAAGACTATGCTGTCACTGAAAGAGCTATCCATCCTCCTGTGGACTCACCACCTGCAGGATGATCAGAGAGGGGCTGGTGCTTTGTGAATTGGGTGGCCTCTCTGACTGCCACCCCCGACCCAGAAATGGATTAAGGGGAAGAAAATGGATGGATGGATTTTGGCCTCTTGTCAGATGAGAAAAAGAGCTCAGTCAGCCAATCAGCTCTTTGTTTCTAGTTTAGTTGCCGTGGCGTATAGTATATATGTCCATGTTTGCCTGTCTCGTCCAAGTTCTTTGCTGGTTACTACTACTTTTTAATCAGAAAAAAATAGCAAGACTCTATACACAGATCAATTATTGCAGGTCATTTGAGGAGTTTAATGTGGTGCCTGTCCATTGCTTACATTGGTAAAAATAAATACAAGAAAGTAATTTTCTCAGTATTGCTTTCCTCCTGTTTTGTGTGAATCGCACATGGACATACAAATTGTGTTCCTAACGGGGTTTTGTGTCTCCTACAGAGCCCTTCAGCGCCTCCGTGTGGGTCATGATGTTTGTCATGCTGCTCATCGTCACTGCCATCGCCGTCTTCCTGTTCGAGTTCATCAGTCCACTGGGCTTCAACCGCAACCTGGCCCAAGGGAAAGGTACCCCCTCTGCTCACGCTGCACTCTCTGCACACTTAGAATGCATTTTTAAAGCCCTTTTTGGCATTATTAATTAATTCCACACAATGGTGATGCCCTGGGGCAGACTTACAAAAGCAAGGCAATGAGTCTGTGCCATCGACCCCTCTGACCAACACCAATCATTCATGCACACACCAGATTCATAGTAGGCAAGGACTCAACAACAGCCACCCCACTGAAGAATGACAGAATCAGGCAGGTGGCACCTCAGGCATCATCAGGACCTTTGATATTCTGACACAAGGTAAAAATGTAGGAGGGTCTGAGACCAGGCGCTTCTGTTCCCAGTACCTCCAGTAAACATTTTTACAACCAATCACAGATTGCAGGTACCAGAAGGTTTTTTTTTTTGTTTTTTTTTTATTACCTTAGATCTCAGAGGAAACATTGTGGCCGATCTGTACATTTATTTGTTTTGAAGTTTCAAATTAACCAGAATAATCACAAATACTAACTTGGAGTTAAACTCGAAACCTGTTGTGTGCTTCATTGGGGTGGAATCTACCAGTTACTTAACTGTTGATCTATTTATAACCAGCCTCCTTTTCAAATCTAGATTTAGATAACCTTACCATAGAACCTTGCACTGTTAACTAGCAGAACGATCATCGTGGGGTTACAACTTCAATCAAAATGTTGTGAGCTTTAAGATTTGGTATGTTTAAATCCTTTACTAATGAATGTAATGTTATAAATTAATAAATTATTTCTTCTCTAGGTCATTTGAAGAAGAGGTTATTGTGATACTGTGTTTTTGAATCTGGGAGAGGTGCTTTTAGTGTTGTTCTTGTACGGCAATATGTATTTAAGCTTCTCGCATAAACAATTTTTACAAACCAAACTTACATTATTTTGTCTTCTGTCATCTTTAACCACAAAAAGTTTCAATTACCTTGCAAAACTGCTATAGATTTTCCCAACAAAACAAGTATATTTTTGCAATAATAACTTGGAGCCCAGAGCGCATATCTCCACAGCAGCTCCACTTATGCGCTTCTGCATTAGAATGCCTTTGTTCTCCTCTCGAGCTGAATAACTTAATTTGTCCCTTATTGCTTCCCCTACATGCTGATATTTGCAGCTTGCTCCTCCAAAAGCGCGCGCTGCTCTGGGATGTGCGCGTCAGCACTTTGGGCACAAGTTTAATCTGTCCCCAAGTTTGTACAGATTTAAGGAGGAAGGCTGGTGTGCGAGTGGACACTGCTGCGGCCAGTTCTCAAGCCTAATTGGGGTTTTAAATGGTGAAGCTTCATGATGACAAAGCAGGGACTGTGGGGTAAAGTTATACAAGTAAGTTATGAAAGCTATATGGGAATGGTCTGAGAAAATGTTAAAAGTCATGGACAAAAGACTAATTTGATACAATAGAAATGTATTTCACAAGGTAATGAGTGCCCCAGACCGCTATGTTTTATTCATTTGCAAGATATTGTGTTATCTCTATATAATGCTCTGTGACCTTGTGAAATTTCCCCACTGTGGGACAAAAAAAAAAATCTTAATCTTGTCCTTGAAGAGGATCATAGTGTTATATTTTGCTCCTCACTCCCCTGCTACAGAGTGGCTCAGTTGGTAGAGCCTTCGAGCCTGAAGGCCACCACAAGACCTACTTCACGACTCTCACTGATGTCTACTGTCGTTGTGTCCCTGGGCAAGACACTTAACCTGCTTTGCCTGAAGCCCCCGCTGAAAGATCAAGGCTGTATCACTGACAGAGCAGCCATTCTCCTGTGGACTCACTACCTGCAGGAGGATCACAGAGGGGCTGGTCCTATGTGACTTAGATGGCATCTCTGACTGCCACCCCCCGACCCAGAAATGCATTAAGGGTAGAAAATGGATGGATGGACTCACCTGCTATACTTTTCAAACATAGGTTTAACATATTGTATGGTGTCGTTTGGTGGAATACCAACAACCAGGGCCGGCCCAGAGCATAGGCGACCCAGGCGTCATCTTCAGGATGGAGCGCAAAATTGCAGTCTTAAAAAAAAATTAAATACAAATAGTTTCCTTTTTTTTATTATTCGGCTAAGTGTTTCCCATCACGTAAGATTGAAAAAAACAATTATGCATACTATAATCACAATAATAATAATGCATCGGTTTTATATAGCGCTTTTTTTGGATACTCAAAGACGCTTTACATGTCATTATTCATTCACTCCATAAAAAATTGTCATTATTGAACTTATTATTGAACTTGTCACGCCAAGGTGAGTAGGTGGGGGAGGGGCAGCCTCACGCATCCCAGAAAGTGTGTAAGATAGGTGGACATGTTTTTGGTCAATGTTATTATGAAAAGACAGTCTAAGATCAGTCAGTTGCAGCCAATAAATGCAGAAGAAAAGAAGAGAATAAAAAACGAACTAAAATATGAACAGAGACATGCAGTCTGTGGATAGATGAGAGTCTAAACTCTAGTTTGATCTTTAAAGCGTTCAAAAATAGTCATTTTTCACAGAGTTATGACTCTCTACAGAATCCTGTTTGAGACAGAGGCAGACACTACGTAACGGGCGGAAAATACGTGCGTGATGAGCGGTGACGCAAAAATTATGCATTTTCATCATGTTTAGTAATTAAAGTTGTGAGATGCTCTGAACCAGTTCTGAGCCAGGACTGAACCAGGACTGAACCAGGACTGAGCCAGGACTGAGCCGGGAGTGAGTCAGGACAACCAGGACTGAACCAGGACTGAGACAGGACAACCAGGACTGAACCTAGACAACCAGGACCGAGCCAGGACTGAACCAGGACAACCAGGGCCGAGCCAGGACTGAACCAGGACTGAGCCAGGACTGAGCCAGGACTGAGCCAGGACTGAGCCAGGACTGAACCAGGACTGAACCAGGGCTGAGCCAGGGCTGAACCTGAACCAGGATTAACCATTTTATCCCAAGTTTAACAACCCCTTGGATTAAACTGAAATGAATCTATAATAATTGAACTTGAGATTATTAAATCATAACCTTTTTTCTTTCGTTTGGAGAAAGTAACTTAAAAGTAATGCAGTAGAAGTGTAATGCATTACAATTCAGATACAGTAATATTGTAGTGTAATACATTATTTTGAAACAACAGTAATAAGTGAAACAAGAGAAAGTATAAAGTTTTTGAAGTAACTTGCCTAACATTGATCAACAGCAGGTGGCTCCTTTCGGCTGTTTCTTGCGTAAAAGTGGAAAGAGAAGCCGCGGGAATGAGCCGCCAAAATGCACATTTTAAAGGATTTTTAAAGACTACATTCACTTCACTTTTTTGTTTCATAGATAATACATTGAATTTGTCCCAACACAAAGATCCTTCTAAAAGTGAAAAAGAGTGAAAAGTCTCATATTGTCTTGTTAGAAAACATAATATTTTTCATACATGTGAGCATCTTTGGTGCTTAGATTCAAAGAGTTAATCGACTCAGTGAGAGTGGTCCTCCCGTTTACTTTGTAAGTGTGTGCTTGTGTGGTTACATCACGTTGAGCACATGAGTGTGATAGTTTTAAAAGCAACATGGCAGAACCAGAGGAGAGAAAATAGTTTCACTGGGGAAGATATGCACATTATTTTAACTATATTAGTCATATAGATAAAAAAAACATTGTCATGGAGTGCAACCTTGCACAGGCAGCAAGAGATTGTCCACAGCAGCCAAATCCAAGCCTGTTTGCATGTTCTCCCCATGTCTGCAAATGACATGAGCACAAGCTCTGTGCTGCTCCAGTTGCCTCTACTGCTAAAATATGTACAATAGGCCTGAATGTAATGAGTGAGTGAAGGGATAGAAATAGCCTGGTCTTACCACACCATTGTACAAATTTCATTGTGTACTGCGGCCTGGATTTTATTGAGCACCGAGGGGAGTAGAGCCACAAAATCTTTGCCAGCAATAAAATCTGCTAAATGTTCCTCTTGCTCCGGCTTCAATTTCTTGATATTTGGGAGCCGAAACAGAACGGATTGTGCTACTATCGCATTCTTTGCCATTGCCAAACTTCAACCAGCAAATTTGGTGCAAACTCTTGACGTTACCGACAACTAGCTACGACACCAGCCTCCCACGCTTGCTATTTGATCGTATGGACCCAGACGTACGTGTAGGGAAATATTAATTGACCGGAGTTTACGGATGACTTAGGCCAGGCTAGGATGGAGATGGTCAGGGGCTTTAGTGCAGCTCTGCGTCTCATTATGGTTATGAAACCAACATTGTAAAGCTCTTGGAGTGACCTTGGTCTGTTAAATACGCTATGAAAATAAAGATTACTTATTGTACTTATTTACCTCTTTATGGCTTTGTTTACCAGCTACGTAACAATGAGCTTTTGTCCTTTCGCAGACCCCCACGGACCCTCGTTCACCATCGGTAAGGCCGTGTGGCTGCTATGGGGTCTGGTGTTCAACAACTCTGTGCCCGTGCAGAACCCCAAAGGCACCACCAGTAAGTTCATCGTCTCCGTGTGGGCCTTCTTTGCTGTCATCTTCCTGGCCTCCTACACCGCCAACCTGGCCGCCTTCATGATCCAGGAGGAGTTTGTGGACCAAGTGACCGGTCTGTCTGACAAGAAGGTGAGGCTTCATCATTGTAACTCTATTAACTCTATTCACACTCACAGCAGTTATATGCCTTTTAACCCACTGAGACCAGGAACGCTTTCCAGCATTTCTAACCTTGGAGCAGGTGTAGCAGGCCAGTTTAACCCCCCGCCAGATTATACCCCGGGTATAAAATGGCCTAGGCCAGAATATACCCCGGAGTTTAAACTGGCCTTGGCTAGGGTTAGGGTTAGGGTTAGGGTTAGGGTTAGGGTTAGGATTTACCCCCCCTTTCATTTTATATAATAACAATAAAATACAAGCAATATTTTACTTTTTTCTTTATTTCTCACTAAATACATTTAGGAAAAGATATGATTTATGAAATAAACTATTCTATGTATAACTAAAACAATGATAAAACTATAACAATCTCCTAACACTCCCGTACTGTACTTTACATACAACAATATGCCCATTTTTTAAGAAATATATTGAATACAAGTGTACTGTATTTAAATAAAGAAACAATTTACAGAAAGAAAACTGCACTTTATGCGTACATCACAGGTTTTTTTTATTCAAAAACAACAGTTGACGCATCAGCAGTCACACCAAGGAAGCGAGATGTAACTCTCCCATGATCCAGACAGATCATGGATCATTATTTGACTTTTTGGGCTGAGAGTGGAGTTTTAAAAAAAAATTCCACATAGATAGTGCCACTTTATTGCCAAACTCTTTTTGACTTATTGTATTGAGAAACATGTGTTTGTCTCACTTTATTTTTGGTTGTTTTATTATCTTTCCTGTGTGGAAGTTGTATATTTTTTGTAATATTCTACTGAAGGTTTATACAGTAATAATACTCTCCATTCTTCTTGAAAGCCACAGTAGTCAGCTCTCAAATTCTTTTGAAATTATGTTTCTATCTGTTACAGTGGCCGAGATACTGTATCAATCATTCTGTAGATGTGGAATTTCAGGAAAACGTGAGGTTTTAGAGGGTAGTTCTAAAGTCGGCCATAGGTTTCACAGGTCTATTTTACCAGGTGTGTCAGGCCTTAATGGGTTAAAGATTCAATTCTATTTGGTTGTAAGTATCTAAAACATGAAATGAAAATGATACAATTTAATTGTAATGGGAAAAATAATGCATTCTTCTAGTAGAAGATGTATATGATTTATAATTAACACTCGATGTAATGCATAAACCATTTGGCCATTATTTGGAAAGACGTTATCATGCTCAATAGAACTGAGAAGTGGCAGTCGTTAAAAAGAGGTTTTAAACATTTTAAGAATACAAATATCAAGAGGGTTAAACATACTACTCTACTTCCAATTTCCCAATCATTTATTTTATTTTGGTCCTGAAGAGGAACCACCACACTTAACAAAACCCTCTGCCTTTCCTGCTTTGCTCTTATCCAAAAAAGATACTTTATAGTGTCTATTAATTTAGTCATGTAATGTGTTGTACAAAACAATAGGTTGCTCACGGTCAGAGGGAAGGTTAAAGATGAACATAAAGACTCAAAATGAAGACTCATACTGTCCCCAGTGCTGCTCAGCTACAGCTCTGTTGCTAAGATATTTTTTGATTCATAAACAGTAAATACCGTAGAGACCAAATTACAGATATGGAAGAACTAAAAGACCAAACACGAGTCTGCACACACGTTTGTATTTATCTGAAACATACAGATTGAAATTATGTAAAAATAGGGGTCATGATTTTCAAACAGTGAAATGTGCGTGTTGCTTCACTGGAGCTTTATTCACAAACTTGGAAAGACTAAAATGCCAGACCAGACCCTGGTGTGTGTTTTTCTACAGTCATTCTGGTGCATTTTTGACCAGTGTAAATGTGGCCAAAGATGGACACCTTCTAATCTCTGCTGTGGCTCTCACCTCACCACTGGGCTCTGCAATTGGCACCACACTCTGGCTCTTGTAATGATAACAGCCCCGAGGACAGACAGGGGTCCCGCGGGGTTCCCAGGGGCCGGAGCTGTCGCCTGGTAACGCCGTGCCAGGGATGCTTTCTCTTGCTTTCCTCGGACCTTTGATCCAATAGAGACGTGGCGGAATATAAGACTATAGGGAAAACATGGAACTCATCCAAACTAATGGGAAGCTTGAGGGTTAAATACACTGTCATTCATTTAAAACAAATAATACATATTTTGAATTGGGAAAGCTGTTGCAGATTTTGTGATTAGCCAGAGACCCATGGCTCTGGTGAGTGGCTCTGGTGAGTGGCTCTGGTGAAATGGGGGTGACACAATTCTGGGTGTCAGCACAAGTGCAGCCAGTGGTGTGTGGTAGACTGGACATGACTGATGATGACTGATGAGTGCCTGGACTGGCCACACACACACACACACACACACAGTAATATGGACTTTTCTTATACAAACCATTTGCCTAATATTGTGTTCGAGTTCCAGACTATCACTTTAATCAGTATTATATTATGTGTCTGTAATATTAATTATTAGTAAGTAATGAAATGTTATTGATTCCTGGAGATTGGGGGTGGGGGGCCTAGGGGGCTGGGTGTGTGTGTGTGTGTATTTATGTTGGGGTGGGTGGACCCATGGGAGGGAGGAGACAAAAAAATGTCAAATTCATTCGCATTTAGTTGCATTTATGTTCTGCTTCATAACCATTGTCATTTCTTTATGTAGCGCAACACAATGAATACTTGATAAAAAAAAAAAGTATTATATTTTTGGCAAGCCTAAAAAACAGGTTTTTGGATGCAGAGTGAAATAGGAATGACATGCATTATTCTTGTATATATTTACATAAACTCGAAGGCTTTAAAATGATGCATCACACAAGCATGTGATGTGTAAGATGTATTTTTAACTATGCAAAGACATTTGGGTGTGCCCAACTTTTGTGCACATGCCAAAAGGAGGTGGGTGTTAATAGGTTAGCAATTTCATAAAAACATGTTGTTATAGAAGCATTGGCCTTTGGGCCTGAAGGTCGTGGGTCCATGCCCGCCACGAGACCTACTTCACAACTCCCACTGATGTCTTCTGTCGTTGTGTCCTTGGGCAAGACACTTAAAGTGATAGTCTGGAACTCTAAATTAATGTTAAATTGACCTCCTGGCCTTAAATGTTGATATAAAATGAGTAATTTTATTAATTCTAATATTACGGGTAAGTCCCGCCTTCCCTTCTCTTAGCTATAGTTCAAAATCCACGATGCCGTCGACGTTAACCAATCATCGGCGCTCATGCTCGTAGCTGCGCGCACGCTCAGTTGTTTGTTTTCACGGAGCCTCCAAATCAAGCCTCTATTAGGCTCTGGAACTACATGAAAACTGAACAAAGAATTCTGGACATCTGCGCTGAGTTACCCGTTTATATACTGAACCTATATCCATAATCATTTATATACTGAACCTATATCCATAATCATTTATATACTGAACCTATATCCATAATCATTTATATACTGAACCTATATCCATAATCATTTATATACTGAACTTATATCCATAATCATTTATATACTGAACCTATATCCATAATCATTTATATACTGAACCTATATCCATAATCATTTATATACTGAACCTATATCCATAATCATTTATATACTGAACCTATATCCATAATCATTTATATACTGAACCTATATCCATAATCAGATCCTCTGCAGATGTGTCCTATAATGTTCAAGTAATGATAATTGCTACTTCCGGGTTTACCACGATCGCTTTTTTTGTGCATTAAAACTTTATTTTTGTCATGAAAACGTTAACAAATAATTCTGAAATCTGTGCATGTGTATTAATGATGCATATGTATAATGTGTTCTCTGATTAACATTTAAATGTGTTGATTGATTGTTACGTAAACGTAGGCGTAAACCAATCAGAAAGGAAGGGGGAGGGAGCTTGGGTCGTTTTTTTTTTTTTCAAATCATGTACCTCTCTCTTTTTTTCTGACAAACTCCAGACAATCACTTTAACCCCACTATGACTGAAGCCCCCGCTGAAAGATCTCCGCTCCTGTGGACTCACCACCTGCAGGAGGATCAGTGAGGGGCTCGTACTCTGTGAACTGGGTGCAGCTCTGACTGCCACCCCCTGACCCAGAAATGGATTAAGGGGAAGAAGATGGATCAATGGATGGATGTTGTCAAAGTGTTCCATGTTTGAGACAGGAACAATCAGACAGAAGGGGCGGGGGAACATGTTTGTGCCAGAAGTGTGGATGGAACTCTGAGTCTGTTTTTGATTAGAAGTAATGTGAAAATATTTTGAATGTTGAATAGATAAATTGATAAAATGTTGTGTTTGAAAGTTTACACACTTAGAAACTTTATTACACACTTAGAAACTTTATTTCAGAAGCTATAATGGATTATTAAAGATGACAAACACAAACACTTTTTTTTCATGTGTTCTATTCTCAAATTCTAATTTGAATTGAAGTACCTTTTCTGTCCCTGATCAGACGCTTCTATCCCCCAGTTCTCAATAGTGTGTGTTGCCCCTTCACATCTATGACAGCATGCCATCTGTGGTAGTTGTGGATCAGAGAGGATAAATAATCGTCTCTCATAGTAAAGGTGCACATTCTGCCCATACAGTTCCTGACTAGTCTTGGGTCCCCTTGCAGGAACTGCGCATTTAACAATAAATGGCTTCACCCAATGAAGAGAAAAAAAGGTTTTGTTATCATTCATAATCTCAAAAATATGGCTACAACAATAAATCTATAGCTGGATGTCTGGACTTTCAATGACAACTGTACATGAAAAGTGGAATTAAAGATGACAAAGTCCCTCTGAATGTTGGAGCAAATGCAGAGGACATGTTGTCCTACAATACATTATGAAAAAGAAAAAAAACACCAGACTTTGTGTCTGTATTGGCAATAAGTAGTTGACAATGAGCATTTGTAAGGGGCCCAAGGCATAAGCGTCGCTGCGGTGTCACATCGGTTTACTTTTCTGAGCCGCCTGCGGTCGGAGAACAAGATTTTCACACAACACTTATTCTATTTGTCACATTCAGAGGCCAAGTCCAAAATCTGTGAGCAAATTCTACCACATGGAGGGGGGGCGCAAATGAGATGGAGACAACAAACTGCAAATCTAATTCTAAAGCCGTGTTTGGTTGTAGTGTAACTGTGAGAATGTCAAACTCAAGCACTCGTTATGGAAGAATCATTTTTCCTCACAGACTCCACAATATATTTTTATAGACGTCACATTTTCCACTTTTCTACCTTTATACAGGTTATCTATTCAATGAATTACTCAAAAATGATCTTCCCTTGTGGCCAAGCAATCTCACTGTAAAATCAAGTCGAAAAATACATATGTCAGTCTTCTGTACCATGTTTAGATCATCTTTTTTTTCAGACAGAAACGTGAAAAAGATATGACAACTCAATTAGCTCTCAACCCACAGTTCCAATGCAAAAGATTACATATTTGAAAATAAGATAAAGTCAGCATGGAAGATATTCAAGGAGACATATGAAAATAAGCCATGTTTCAACTAGAGTAGACAGTTGAGAATACAATATCCCCGGTCACATCTCTGATGTCAGAGAGCGTTTTTTGCTTTTTAAATCAAAGAATGAGAATGAGGAATGCACCATGATAGCCATTCATTTGAGTAACTATGTTTCTCCTATTCTCTCTGCAGTTCCAGTCCCCATACTCATATTCACCTCCTTTTCGCTTTGGGACGGTCCCCAACGGAAGCACGGAACGTAACATTCGCAAGAACTACCCCAATATGCACCAGTACATGACCAAGTACCACCAAAAGGGGGTGCAAGACGCCCTGGTGCAGCTCAAGACCAAGTGAGTCCAAAACCACTGGCTATGCCCATATGTGAAACTCAAATATTTGGATTACAACTCATCTGGGATTGCATGTTTAATTCATCAATATGTTATCAAACATGTTACAATCTTGGGAAATGTTGTGTAACCTTTTCTTTAAACTTCTGCCCAACTCTATCCCTGACCTCTGGTGTGTCCCATGGACTATGTGATGTTGTTTATTGACCAATATCTTATCTTAAATGAGCTGTAAACATACTGAAATGCGTTCAGGTGCGCTCGGCCGCGGATAAGATACAAGCGGACGAAATGAGTGGCCTCAGAGATATGGTGAGGATCTCAGTCACAGGGGAGGAACTCAGAGTAGAGCTGCTGCTTCTCCAAGTTGAGAGGAGCCAGTTGAGGTGGCTAAGGCATCTGTCTAGGATGCCTGCAGGACCCGGCAATGGATAAAGAGGAATAAAATGCATGGATAGATGGTCTCAACCTTAATGGTTAGGTTTGACTGTTGTCAGTGATCAGGAAATTGGTTGCACTAAAAGAAAAGAGGGTTAACTCTTAGCCTAAAGGTTTGTTGGGTGGAGCTTCACTGTTACAGCAAACCAAATCAGGTTTGAGTCAGCAGATCTGTTGTGTGGAGTGCCTCAAGGTGCAAAGGCACGTTTGAAGACTTGGGCCAGGGCAAGCTTTGTAAAGCCCAGATGAGGGGGGTCAGTGTGACAGGAAGAGAAACGGAAACTTAGCTCGGACAACAAGGTTGTCACTGAAGTTGGTATTAGCGCAACCGCGGGCCGTTTTCACACCCCTGTGGCGACGTTCCGGGCCACTTGGCCTAGTCTTAGACCCTGTGTTATTTTTGTTGTATGTGCTCCCTTTGGGAAAGATTATTGAAAGTTGTTGTGATGTTTCTTATCACATGTTTGCAGATGACATCCAGATTTATTGCACTTTTAAGCCAACTGAGCTCCATAGGCTTGATTCCTTAGTTTGTTGAAAATTAGAGAACACTTTGCAGCTGAATACGGACAAGACTGAAACACTAGTTATTGCCCCTGATGATTTAATTCCAGGGATTAAACAATACTTGGGTGATGTTGGCCAGTCTGTAAAACCGAGCCTTAGAAATCTGGGTGTTATTTTTGACAAGGATATGTCACTAGTTCAACACTGCAAACAGCTGACCAAAAATTGCTTTTTTCAACTGAGAAACATCTCCAAATTTAAGAAAATGGTGTCACAGAACAACTTGGAGCCTATAATCCATGCCTTTGTGTCTTCTCGTTTAGATTATTGTAACGGTTTGTTTTCATGTCTGAATAAGAAGGAGCTGTCGCGTCTGCAGTTAGTGCAAAACTCTGCAGCTCGGGTTCTCACGCGCACAAACAGGAGGACTCACATCACTCCTGTCCTCAAAGCTCTCCACTGGCTGCCCGTGTCCTACAGGATACATTTTAAAATATTGGTGCTGACGTTCAGAGCTCTGCATGGTCAGGCTCCCCCTTACATCAGCGATCTGATTCAGCCTTATACCCCCACTCGGGCCCTGAGGTCTGTGGATCAGAATCTGTTGTCCCACGGTCCCACGCACGCGCTTTCGGACCAGGGGAGTCCTTCCAGGCTGTTGCGCCTAAGCTCTGGAACAATCTTCCGCTCTCTCTGCGGCTGATGGAGTCTGTTGATTCATTTAAAGGTCGACTAAAAACCTATTTATTTGGGCAAGCTTTTACATAATTTTCTTGCGGCTGTTTCAAACCTGTCACTGAGTTGTCTTGGCCATTTTATATATATTTTTTTTGTACTCACATTTTAAATTGTATTTTGTCTGTTTTTTACCTGTTTTAACTGTGAAGTACTTTGTGGCCTTGGTCTGTGAAAGGCGCTGTATAGATAAAGCTTACTTACTTACTTACTTGTTGTAATGAAATGTGGGTGGATTAAAAGAACACTTTCTCAAGGCACTGTTTAGTGAATAAGGGGTCAACATTTGGACATGGCTATGCCTTCTTAAGGCTGCGGTCACATGCACAGCCTAAAGCCCGGTTTAAGTGGGCCTTGGTCCGATTCGCGATTAGATCCGAGCTTTAGGTGCAATGTGACCGCGGCAAGTGGGCTTTAGCGCGATTGCTGCAATCGTGCCCAGGCACGTTTGAAGACTTGGGCCAGGGCAAGCTTTGTAAAGCCCAGATGAGGGGGGTCAGTGTGACAGGAAGAGAAACGGAAACTTAGCTCGGACAACAAGGTTGTCACAAGTTGGCATTAGCGCAACCGCGGGCCGTTTTCACACCCCTGTGGCGACGTTCCGGGCCACTTGGCCTAGTTCGTTTGTAAAAACCTATGTGACCGTGCCCTAAGTCCGTTCCATGGCTCTATGCTTATCCTCTCCCTCGTTGACGTGAATACTCTGTCTCCGTCCAAAGCAAATACATTTCTACTATGGTGGCCTCCTGGAACAAGTGAGTGGTGAGAACAATACCCCGTCGAGTAGCCAAAACATAGAGAAGCCTATTTGTTTTGTTGACATCTCCTGCTAAGTCGACTCTGACAATGTTGTGGACTATTAACAACAATAGCACACTGTAAAAAAAAAAAAGTTGAGTCAACTTAAAAAAGTAAAGCAACCAGCTGCGAAGCTTTTTTGAGTTCACTCAACTTTCAAGATATATATTGAGCAAAATTAAAGGAGGAAGTTGGGAACATTTCCTGTTGTGTTTAACTCATTGACTGCCAGCCCATTTCAAAACAGGTACTCCCATATTGCCAGCCGTTTCTGGTGGTTTTTACTGATTTTTCAAGACCCACAGAATATTGTGTACTTTGACTATCTGAAATCTAAAACTAGATTCTGAAAGAATGGGCTGTCTACTCTCACCAGCAAAAAGAATTTTGTTTCTATCTTGTTTAGTTCTTCTGTAATCCCCAGTTGAGTAGAGGGAAGTTTTATTGAAATCACCAGAAAGCTGAGAAAAAAGGGCCACAAACAGTGCATCTAGCTGTGTTCAAACCATTCATAGCGCAATGCTGCCATCTGCTGGCTCCATAAAGTATTGCCTCAAGCCAATCTCCACATATTAGATTCAATGGACAGCTGGGAACGTAAAAATAGCGGGAAACGCAATTGACGTGTTAACACGTCATTGGCAGACAACGTTACTATTTAGTTTGACGTGTTAACACGTCAATGGCAGTCAATGAGTTAAATCCCACTTATCTCAATAATTACAAGGGAATACAAATTTTAAATCAGTCCAACTAAGAATAGTAACTTGACCAACTTGACAATTAAACATTTGCTGGACTTTAAACAAAAAGTTGGTTCAAATATCAATTGTTAATTCATCCAACTCATTCTAGAAAGTTGAAACAAGTACAATGTTAAGTTGGGTGAACTCAACGTTTTGCACCTGGTGGCTTTACTATTTTAAGTTGGGTCAAATACCAATAGTTAATTTCTCAAACTAATTTTAGAGAGTTGAATCAAGTACAATCTTAACTTGTTAACTTAGGTTGAGTTAACTCAAAAAAGCTTCGCAGCTGGTTGCTTTACTATTTTAAGTTGAGTCAATTTTAGAAACTAAGTTCTGAGGATTAACATTTACAATTTAGGCAATTCCTTGTATCAAAGACACATTCCACAGAATGCTGAACAATTTAAATATCAACAGATAAAATTACTACTATGGGTCCCCTTAAAGCATCACAAGAAAAACAAGATTAACATGAGACATTTATTAAACATGTTAATTAAAACTGTCTCCCCAGAGTTTTGATATTGGACTGAAACATGCACGGACCACAGGCTATTTTTAAAAGCACTGTCATACACATCATCAAAAGACAAAAACGAAATTTAGTCTTAGTGTTAGGATTCAGGCAGACAGAGACGGATCGTGGTGTGCCAAACTCTGGAAGTTTATTTACGTTTCTCTCAAGTTCCACTGGTTTACTCTGTTTCCTTCCCTCAGACAGAATAAAGGCAGTACACAGTTTATATAGTCATTGTCACGTCACACATCGAAAGACATACGTGTCACAAAGAGACAGTCACATCATAGTCATAACATGGAGTCCTTGTAGAGTCCTGCACAGTCCTGCACGTAGGCCATATTGCTATCTAATACTAATATTAGTTTCTGTCAAACAAGTGTTAAACATTGTAAAGTACAATCATTTTACAGCAGCAGTGGGTGACCTGAAACTACATTCAATCCCATCAAAATAGAACAATATTTCACAGCTTCAACAATGAAAACGTTCAACATGGCTAAGTGCAATTATTTAACAGCAGCAAGTTCTCATTAAAAAAATATATATGTATAATGTATATAAAAAGACTTTTGAACCACCAGGAAGTTCTGGTACATTTACACGTTAATACATTAACATTTTGTTTTTGAAGGTTTGCACTCTCGCTGAGCATTTGGTATCCAGGCACATGAACAACTTCTGAATCGTTTCGAACGTGTATTTCAGTTCCTTTGGGTACGCCATGTTCAGGGCATACACAAGACCGAACAGGAGTGCAACTGCTGTCGGCAGGTCACTTACTTCATCAATGACTATCTGTTCCTCAAGCACCACAGTAAAGAACCTCGCGTTTGGGATTGAGTCAACAGTCCCAACATCATCCTCAACAATGGTTAACACTCCCATCTTCATGCCACCAACATGATTTTCTCGAGGCTGCATGTCCTGTTTGAAAAAAAGTCAAATTTAGCACACTAAAAAGTATAACATCAACAGTTAATAAAACAGTATGGTTCTAGTCGTTCGCATGAATATGTCCTTTTTCCTTTTCTCTTTGAAAAAGCTTCAAAAAGTCACTCACAGGGCATGTGTAAAATATGTAATGTTTTGTAATAAACACATGTCATCTTAATCTTATTAACATAGAGACAGCATGTTGAAGTTATATATTTTCCCCCAAAATGTTAATTTAGGTTTCAATAGGGATAAATAACATGTATTTTGGAAACAAAAATATAGGTACTCCAGCTTTAAATAGTAGCCCTCTTGTGACATAATTACAAACAGATTTTGCAAATAAACGTTGGGCCATCAACCCCAATCTCAAATTGGCTACTTGCACAAATCCCATAATACTTTGCGCTCTTGAGGGGGTAGCGCCCATATAGCTCCCATGAAGTTGTGTGGAAACTGATTTTAATTTTCATAACAACATTCGAAAATAAAGTTAGTTTACCATTAGAAAATAAAAAAAACTTGCTATTGGCAAAACTATTGTTTGGAACTGTAATATTCTGAAGAATGCCCTGGGATCAGAGCCTCAGAGAGACACCCCTCTGCTTATTCCGGGCTTTGGTGCGCAGAGTGGGGTTCTGTGGAGAACAGCCCGGCTTTAGTGGACTCTGCTCTGCTGGATGTTGTCTTTGAAAACAATCAACGCACTGGATTAGGATTTATTTATTGTCATTTATTAATGAAGATTATAGACCTACATCCATATTTGTGGGACTGGATTTACGCGAGTCATGCGTAATCAAGCACGTGCATCGCCCCAAGCATGTCCTGCCTGAAGCAGGACATGCTCAATTACTGCATATGGGGATTGTCCTCAGTTGGGCCCGGCTCACTCCCTGTGATGGGCCAGTCCTTTACGCGCACAACTTTATGTGAAACGGGCTGTTCTGTTCTGCTAAATGGCTCCACAGAACCCCACTATCTGTGCACCAAAGCCAGGTATAAGCAGAGGGGCGTCTTTTTGAAGAATGCCCCTGGGTAAGAGCATCAGAGTTCCACCGTTCCGAACAGTTTTGCTAATAGCAAGTTTTGTTTTTAACAATAGCAAACAATTTTTTTTGCTTTTCAAAAAGAAAATCTGTTGGCCAGCAAGTACACACAGACAATTATCTATGCTCATCACTTAGTTTTCAGGCCTTGACATTAAGCTTTCTCAGCCACTTGCCCGAAGGGTAAGTACCATTTATATTTTACTTGCCCAATGTCAAAAGTTGCTTGCCCAAATATTTCTCAATACAATGAGTTAACAAGAGTTTGGCAATAAAGGGGCACTAACTGTGAAGAAAAAAAAAAAAAAAAAACCTACTCTCAGCCTAAAAAGTCAAATAATGACTCCCAGGGCTCTTAAGTATGCAAAATAAAAAACAAGACGCCTGTCGTGGTGTGTTCTGTTTGATTTGTTCACAAAATTTTCCTTTTGTGGCCAACCAACATGCATTTTTAATGCAAGGGGAAATTTAGGTACCCAAGCTTTAATTTCGTGAGTTTTGGTTGCGCATAGGTAGGAGACCAGCACTTGCAACAAGCTGGGGATGGTCCTGAACGCGTGTCTATGGTTCTGTCCGCGTGACTCTATGGTTCTGTCTGCACTTCTATGGTCCGCGCTCATAGAAGTATTCAAAGCGGCTGTCATTACAAAGCGGCAGTAGGTGCTCCCAGGGTCAGAACGGAGGATGCAAATATTGTTCGAGTACGTACAGCAAACAACAGAAAGTGCCCGCGGTCACACATTTCACAGAAATGACATTGTCAGCGGAAAACAGTCGGGAATTGCGGATCCTTGGGAAATTTTGAAGATAATTGATCAAAAAAGAAATGCGGCAATGCATTCCCGCATTGAATGGGTTAAAGTAATACTTCACTTGCCCGATCGGGCAACTTGCAAAAACAGCGCACTTGCCCGTCCCAAATCTTTAGTTGCCCCGGGCAAGCGGACAACCGTTAATGTCGAGCCCTGGTTTTATCATAATTTGAAGGCGAGTGATCGCTACTTACAAACTACTTTAGAAAAGCTTGTTTCTAACGTTTGAAGAAACAAATTTAAAATACCGCAAACCATGAGTATTTCCAATCTTAATTCAGTAAGAAAAGAAATGTATTTTACCTTGGCCCATTGCATGATTAGTGTTTCTCTGATGTAAACAAGTCATAAAAAAGTATTACTCACCAGACAGGTTCTCAGGAAACTTTTAGACTCATCCCTCATGATCAACGGCAGACCTTTAAGAGCAGCAGATTTTCGGTGGGCAAGTACTTCTGTGGTCTGAAAAACATAAAATAAAATTCTAAATATCAAAAAGGACCTGTGGACTATGAGTGGGATACTGTACTGTGTTCTTTGAAAACCCCAGAACAACAGATTAATCTGAACTTTTACCTAAAATCCATTTTAACACAAATTAAGTGCAAGCCTGATGCGATCTGCACTTTGTGCCATGGTGGAGATACTGGGACCTTCTTGCACATTCTCTGAGAGTGTCCTGGTGTGGCTCAGGTCTGGGAGATGGTGGCCTCTGAACTGTCCTCCAGTAGTGCCCTGCTCTACCCTGGTGCTCCTCCTGAATCTCTTGGCTTGGACATTGTGTATTTGTTCCTTTTATTTAGTACCATGTACCCTCGCCGCACACCGTTCCAATGCTGTGTGTGTAAAGAAAATGTCAAAGGATAGTCACCTGATCGTCAAGATTCTCCAACAGGGTCTTCATATCTTTTCCCCACAGCGCAGCACGTGCCCTGTACAACCTGATAATCTTAGGCGCATACTCATCCAAAGATGAGAAGAATCGGTTCATCAGGTGGGTTTGTGTGATCCGGAAAAATTCAGCAGAAATCTAAAGAGAAAAAACAAAAAGAAAATTACTTTTAGATTACTACCAGTAAGTATTTACTTATTACTACCAGTAATAACTCACCTGTTCAGGCAAAAACAATGCGGGCCATTGTCTCTGGACATCCAAGACAAGAGGCTCTTCCATCACAATCTCTTTTCTTCTGAGGGAAAAAGTCATCTCCATCTTGGACTCCACAAATGCCATATTTGGATATTTTTTTCTCATTTCTTCACAGAGTGCCTCTTTTTCTTTTAGGAGAGATGAGTCTGACAGTCCATTTGGGTTGTCTGGGAGATAGTTGGCCTCACATCGCTTGGCTTTCTTAAAACATCTCGAGTCACTCCCCACACTCCTCGGTCTTTTCCTATTTACAGATACCTCTGAACATCCAGCTGATCGCAACTTTTCACGGAAGTTGCCCATTTTAAACTTAATGCTCATAGTCCAGCTATTATAGCCACTTCCTGGGCCTGGATCTTTCAGACAAGGATATTTTGCTATCAAAGCAGCAGCCACAAACTCGATCTGCTTTATACTTGGATAGGCAGTGAATGTAAACATTTTCTGGGCCAGAGAATTGAGTATTTCAATCTTCATCTCTCTTGACATTGTGAGGGAGAAGCTTTCCATTTTCTTCAAATTCCTTATTTGCTCTATTGAGACGTAGTTCTACATCATAAGCAAACTCCGGAATCTCAAATTCAGGTGGCCACTGTGAATTTCCCCGTTGCTTGACTGACACACTTGGTGAATTTTGCGCTGAGCTGCTTGAAGAGGAGGGCATGCTGGCTGTGTCTAAAGAGGAAATTGTGTCGGCATCTGAATCAGAGAACTTCTGGATGATCTTCAGCACAGCTCTATCACTTGGAAGTTGTGTTATTTCAGTTAAATTACAGAGCTCATTTCCAAAGTCTGGATCCTCAAATTGAATTACAAAGTCATTTTTTATTTCAACACCTTTCTTAAGGATTTCTTTCAATTGTTCAACTGAAGTGAGCTCTTCGGTAATATCCAGTCTTCTGATGTTGTCAAGGGCCAAAATCACGCGTAGACGCACCATCTTCAAAAACAGAAAACAGAACAGTGTTAAAAAAAACAAAACAAAAAAACAAAGTAAAGCCAACATTTTTAAACTGAAAGAAACCTCTTCACTGCAATCATGTTCTTTCCCTGAACTACATACAGTGGGAGTGGATGAAAATTAGGGCTGGGCGATAAAACGATAACGATATATATCGCGATAGACATGTGTTCGATATCAATAGAGAATGGGGTCGATAGAATGTTCGATAGTTTAACTTAACTCCGTCAGGAAAAACAGGAAGAAAACACCGGAAGTAAAGCCGACTCATAAGCGCATGGCATTGTGGGGGATGTAGGCAGAGGCTTCTCGACCAATAACAGCCGAGCAGGAACCGCAAAACTTTCTGGGAAATGCAAAAACACCAACAACCGCAGCATGCGTGGCGTCCATGGATCTATAGCTCGTGTTTCAATGCCGTGTCAATGGTTATGCACGTACGTGCGCGGAATAACATGTGCGGCGGCAGAGGCAGTGGACAGACCCGATGACAGAGCCACACGGAGCGGCCACGGGGACACAAGACCCTCAAACAGCTAAACCAGGAGCTAAACCAGGAATAAAAAACCAGGATTAAACCAGGACTAACAACGAGGGACACAGTGTGAACATATTCCTCCAGCCTCATCGCCCCGTGACTGTAAACAAGGCTGCTAAGGTTGGTTAGCCCACACGACAAATATATATATTTAGGTTTAAAAAAAAACTCAATATATATCGTTGACCGATATGAATGACTTATATCGTGATATAGTTTTCAGCCATATCGCCCCGCCCTAATGAAAATCATTCAAGTCTTCCAGCTGCATTCATTTCACCAACAGCATAAACATCTGTAGTGCTCATCGTAGCATGAAGAAAGCCTCTTGCAAAGAAAAGACGCCATGTTTGCATTCACGATAACAGTGACAATTTCAAAAAATTCAGGCAATCCGCCTAACTGACCAGAGGACAAAATCATGCCATTATTGAAGTGAATCCCATGGACCTTTACACCAGATGCAAGCATCAGCACCTCTTTGTTGGGATATTTTCTCTTGACTGCAGCCCCATAAGTTTCCTGTAAAGTACATGTTCTCACAGTTTTTACTTTTTGCACAGATAGTGGTGGTGAAAAGATACTGGGACCATTGAGATAATGTGCAATCATAAGCTGATGTTTGGATGCCAATGTAAGTGGAATGTTTTTAAAATTACGGGCATCTTTCACAACCCCTTTGAAATAGCTATGTTTCGCTTCAAATCTCATTGTCCAAAGCTCAACCAAGGGCCCAAAACAGCGGATCAAGTGTGGATAATGCTCCACAAAGTGATGCTTTGGTTTCAACTTCAGGTTGGGAAATGTCTGTTGAATGTCTGTTGAGGCCAGCTTGGCCTCAAGTTCCAAATAACTTGTGGGCTCTGAGTAAGTGGCAGTTTCAGGTACATTGCTCTCAGCAACACAGGACTGTGATTCAGGTATCTGTACTTGACTGGTGCCTTGTAATTGCGATTGTGTCTCTGTACTTTCTGAACGTGGAGTTTGAGATGTCACTCTAGTACTGAAATTGTCAAATCCATAAGACTTGTGTTTGCGTGATATGTGGCTGCTAAACGAACTGAGAACATTGGTTTTCAGGTTACAGTCCTTGAATGGGCATTGGACTGTGTCACAACTCTTCAAATGATTTCGTAAATGTTTTACAAAATCCAATGGCTGGCAGTCATTTTTTAAATCACATTTAAAATGGAAGTTCCCAACATCTGAAATGGCCGCCTTATGCGCCCTGCTAAGATGAGATTTTAACGCCTTTTGTTTTAAATGTGCAGACGCAATCCGCATACACACAGGGTTGCTGCTATCAACCTTGATGATGTAGCCTGTAATGTTTTTAACGCACTTTTGTTTTCAAATGTGCAGACTAAGCAATCCGCATTACACACAGGGTTGCTGCCAGGATCATTCACCAATTTTGATAGAGTGCACCCAGACAGAAGCACCAGCCCCTCACTGATCCTCCTGCAGGTGCTGAGTCCACAGGAGCCTTGATCTTTCAGCAGGGGCTTCAGGCAAAGTGGGGTTAAGTGTCTTGCCCAAGGACACAACGACAGCAGTCATCGGTTGGAATCGTGAAGTAGGTCTTACGGTGGGCTCGAACTCACAACCTTCAGGCTCTAAGGCCAATGCTCTACCAACTGAGCCACTGTCGCCTTATTATTTATAAATAATATTGTCTAAAACAATGGTCAAATCACAAACCTGTACAATATAATATATATATATATATATATATATATATATATATTTCAGTTAACTGTAAAATAGTCATTGCATTAAATCACCAATGTATATATGATAATGCAATATTTATCTTTTGTAATAACCCATTCCCAAATAGCCTTCCACACAGACATTTTACTGTCCTTCAAGCACAATCTTAAATATTTTATAATAATAAAGCCACGTATGTAAATGTACAATGTATATGTTCAGAAAAACAATTAAGTTAAGATGTTCAGGAGAAAAACACATGCAGGGATCAAAGTTAAGACTTTTCGTAGTACCCAGTGGCGTGATGGTTGTCTATCCACTTTAGGCCTCAATATCTTGGCGCACAGGAGAGCCTTCCCGAACTCACATTTTAGCGAGGTTAATGGTGATGAAGGCAGCAGCCAACTGGGAAAACACCTTCAGTAGGCCTTGTACGTTTCCTTCAGGTAACGGAGTGGATCATTGAAGTCGTCCAATAAGTCATTACAACGGGCAGGCCCAGTAGAACGACATTATCAGCGTTTAAAAGTTGCGGGAGCGTTGCACTTCAAAACGCCATCACGGTATATGCAGGAAGTAATCAGGCGTACAAACGCCCGATATTTCCGACGCGCGCTTAGTCCAGCGGACTTGCCAGTAACCTTTCAAACAAATCCAATTTAGTGCCTGTATTTAGCAGAACCGAGTTGTCCACACAATCCTCCATGCTGCATGGGAATGGAGTCGGGACAGTGATAGCGTTAATCTTTACGGAAAATACCGTGATTAAGCGAGGCGAGCCATCAGTTTTTCCTCCACCAAACAGGGTGAACTCCAAGCGCAGTGCTCATGTTTTAGCCAACCATTGGCCAATAAATACTCAGCCTCCTGCTTCATCAGCGCGCGGTTTTGTGGGGTTTCACCCGATAACGGAATGCTTGGAGAATGGACCGCGTCCTTCACGTCTACGTCATGTGCCCTACATTGTGCAACTTGTACGTCCCCCAAACAGACATCTTAATCGTCCCACAACAACCAGAACGTCAGCACTGCTGATCATCACTCAAATGCTTCAGTTGTCTCAGTTATAACCGTAAAGCATTTTCAGAGTTCTGGGAGAAACGCGGGACCTATGCTCCTTACGCATCTTCAGTCCGCTCTCACGGCCTGGTCAGCCACAATCAACGAGGACACACGAAGGGATGCTCCGTCGTGTCGGTGTAAACGCGGGAGAGATACTGCTTCAACATATTAATGTGGCACAGTCGGCATCGCGGGTTTTAGCCGCCTCCTGTCCGGCGGCTGATAATATATGTCAGCAAGCAAAGAGAGAGCACGTGCGGAGCCCAGGCAGGACCTTTGACAAGGGATTTTCACACAGCACTAAGCCCATGTTTTTCAAAAAAATTACAATTTTTGATTTCAAGCTTTTCAAAAGCTATAACTTTAAGTTTGAGATAAAGGGCAGTTTTGTAAATGAAATAACTATTCTTCAGTATTGTGAACAAACTTTGGGATGGCTTTTGATTCGTCATCTTAATTTGAATATTGTGACGTCATCAAGGTGGTGGCCATTTTGAAAATGTAATTATTGTATAAAATATTTCAAAAACTGTTAGTTTTGAGAGTGTAATTTTTGAGATCATGGAATACATCGAACAGTCTAAGTTGTAAAATCTTATAGTATGAAAACACAATGTGGGGCTAGAAATAAATTCACTGCTCAAATGTAATATAGAATATTTAAGCACTGTCCACAGGCCATATGGAACTGTATTAGACCTTCAATGACAAGATGGCACTGCAGTACTAGTTTACCCAGTCATGAAAATCTGCACTTTGTGTTTCAATATTACCCTTACAAGAAGACCTGGTGGCATACAGTTTGTCTCAGTTGAAATGAGGCACCCGTCCAGAATTCATCGTTTAGAAACAGAGCGATTAAAAAGAACGGGCTCAGAACATGTCAGATTGTTCTCAACAATAAACAACAGGCTCTGTTCAACATTTCTGATCCACTTTTATGGATTATCTTCTCTAAAGAACTGCCTTCATCATCATCATCTCATCTTCCGTCCGTAAAGGCAGATTAGCGGTGGCGTTTTTCCTTTCGTGCGTCTGCCACGTCTCCTGCGTCCCCGCGGTTTGTTTATTCCCCGCTGCATCACCCATATGCCAGGTGTTATGATCCCCCTGTCCCCTCACCACGTCTCCTGTCTGTGTTCGCAGAATGTTTCCCCACTCGTGGCCGCACACCGCGGTAAATAGGTCCGGCTTCTTCGGGAGTCAGCCGGTAGAGAGGTCCGCACATTAAAAGTCGGGTGGGCCGCTTTATGTGTAAAAATTGCTGTGGCGGCTCGATGCCCCACGTCTTCTCTCTTTCCAATGTTGCTGTAATTAACAGCATAAAGATGCTATCCGCTTTTAATGTGCGGACCCGCTTTACACCGCTAACTTCCGAAAAGCCGGACCTCTTTACCGCGGTGGCCAACGGAGGACGTAAACTGTGGGTGACTGTGGACTATTGTGGCGCGGACTCCCCCTGTCACTAATAATGTCTGTGTCGCTTCACTGGAGACCTGCGTTTCTGCCTGCTCCTCTGAAATCTGAGTGAGCCAGTACCAAATACTTTTCTGATCTCTGAGACATCTGGCTCTGCTCTGGCTCCTCTCAGAACAACGGCTCCCTGCATCGGCGTCACTGCGCCGGCAGGTTTTTTACATTTTACTCTAATAACTTTGAATATAACCATTCCCACAAAGGGCCGCTCATATTAAAAGGCATAACATGTATTTTGGAAACAAAAATATAGGTACTCCAGCTTTAAATAGTAGCCCTCTTGTGACATAATTACAAACAGATTTTGCAAATAAACGTTGGGCCATCAACCCCAATCTCAAATTGGCTACTTGCACAAATCCCATAATACTTTGCGCTCTTGAGGGGGTAGCGCCCATATAGCTCCCATGAAGTTGTGTGGAAACTGATTTTAATTTTCATAACAACATTCGAAAATAAAGTTAGTTTACCATTAGAAAATAAAAAAAACTTGCTATTGGCAAAACTATTGTTTGGAACTGTAATATTCTGAAGAATGCCCTGGGATCAGAGCCTCAGAGAGACACCCCTCTGCTTATTCCGGGCTTTGGTGCGCAGAGTGGGGTTCTGTGGAGAACAGCCCGGCTTTAGTGGACTCTGCTCTGCTGGATGTTGTCTTTGAAAACAATCAACGCACTGGATTAGGATTTATTTATTGTCATTTATTAATGAAGATTATAGACCCTACATCCATATTTGTGGGACTGGATTTACGCGAGTCATGCGTAATCAAGCACGTGCATCGCCCCAAGCATGTCCTGCCTGAAGCAGGACATGCTCAATTACTGCATATGGGGATTGTCCTCAGTTGGGCCCGGCTCACTCCCTGTGATGGGCCAGTCCTTTACGCGCACAACTTTATGTGAAACGGGCTGTTCTGTTCTGCTAAATGGCTCCACAGAACCCCACTATCTGTGCACCAAAGCCAGGTATAAGCAGAGGGGCGTCTTTTTGAAGAATGCCCCTGGGTAAGAGCATCAGAGTTCCACCGTTCCGAACAGTTTTGCTAATAGCAAGTTTTGTTTTTAACAATAGCAAACAATTTTTTTTGCTTTTCAAAAAGAAAATCTGTTGGCCAGCAAGTACACACAGACCAATTATCTATGCTCATCACTTAGTTTTCAGGCCTTGACATTAAGCTTTCTCAGCCACTTGCCCGAAGGGTAAGTACCATTTATATTTTACTTGCCCAATGTCAAAAGTTGCTTGCCCAAATATTTCTCAATACAATGAGTTAACAAGAGTTTGGCAATAAAGGGGCACTAACTGTGAAGAAAAAAAAAAAAAAAAAACCTACTCTCAGCCTAAAAAGTCAAATAATGACTCCCAGGGCTCTTAAGTATGCAAAATAAAAAAACAAGACGCCTGTCGTGGTGTGTTCTGTTTGATTTGTTCACAAAATTTTCCTTTTGTGGCCAACCAACATGCATTTTTAATGCAAGGGGAAATTTAGGTACCCAAGCTTTAATTTCGTGAGTTTTGGTTGCGCATAGGTAGGAGACCAGCACTTGCAACAAGCTGGGGATGGTCCTGAACGCGTGTCTATGGTTCTGTCCGCGTGACTCTATGGTTCTGTCTGCACTTCTATGGTCCGCGCTCATAGAAGTATTCAAAGCGGCTGTCATTACAAAGCGGCAGTAGGTGCTCCCAGGGTCAGAACGGAGGATGCAAATATTGTTCGAGTACGTACAGCAAACAACAGAAAGTGCCCGCGGTCACACATTTCACAGAAATGACATTGTCAGCGGAAAACAGTCGGGAATTGCGGATCCTTGGGAAATTTTGAAGATAATTGATCAAAAAAGAAATGCGGCAATGCATTCCCGCATTGAATGGGTTAAAGTAATACTTCACTTGCCCGATCGGGCAACTTGCAAAAAACAGCGCACTTGCCCGTCCCAAATCTTTAGTTGCCCCGGGCAAGCGGACAACCGTTAATGTCGAGCCCTGGTTTTATCATAATTTGAAGGCGAGTGATCGCTACTTACAAACTACTTTAGAAAAGCTTGTTTCTAACGTTTGAAGAAACAAATTTAAAATACCGCAAACCATGAGTATTTCCAATCTTAATTCAGTAAGAAAAAGAAATGTATTTTACCTTGGCCCATTGCATGATTAGTGTTTCTCTGATGTAAACAAGTCATAAAAAAGTATTACTCACCAGACAGGTTCTCAGGAAACTTTTAGACTCATCCCTCATGATCAACGGCAGACCTTTAAGAGCAGCAGATTTTCGGTGGGCAAGTACTTCTGTGGTCTGAAAAACATAAAATAAAATTCTAAATATCAAAAAGGACCTGTGGACTATGAGTGGGATACTGTACTGTGTTCTTTGAAAACCCCAGAACAACAGATTAATCTGAACTTTTACCTAAAATCCATTTTAAACACAAATTAAGTGCAAGCCTGATGCGATCTGCACTTTGTGCCATGGTGGAGATACTGGGACCTTCTTGCACATTCTCTGAGAGTGTCCTGGTGTGGCTCAGGTCTGGGAGATGGTGGCCTCTGAACTGTCCTCCAGTAGTGCCCTGCTCTACCCTGGTGCTCCTCCTGAATCTCTTGGCTTGGACATTGTGTATTTGTTCTTTTATTTAGTACCATGTACCCTCGCCGCACACCGTTCCAATGCTGTGTGTGTAAAGAAAATGTCAAAGGATAGTCACCTGATCGTCAAGATTCTCCAACAGGGTCTTCATATCTTTTCCCCACAGCGCAGCACGTGCCCTGTACAACCTGATAATCTTAGGCGCATACTCATCCAAAGATGAGAAGAATCGGTTCATCAGGTGGGTTTGTGTGATCCGGAAAAATTCAGCAGAAATCTAAAGAGAAAAAACAAAAAGAAAATTACTTTTATTACTACCAGTAAGTATTAACTACTACCAGTAATAACTCACCTGTTCAGGCAAAAACAATGCGGGCCATTGTCTCTGGACATCCAAGACAAGAGGCTCTTCCATCACAATCTCTTTTCTTCTGAGGGAAAAAGTCATCTCCATCTTGGACTCCACAAATGCCATATTTGGATATTTTTTTCTCATTTCTTCACAGAGTGCCTCTTTTTCTTTTAGGAGAGATGAGTCTGACAGTCCATTTGGGTTGTCTGGGAGATAGTTGGCCTCACATCGCTTGGCTTTCTTAAAACATCTCGAGTCACTCCCCACACTCCTCGGTCTTTTCCTATTTACAGATACCTCTGAACATCCAGCTGATCGCAACTTTTCACGGAAGTTGCCCATTTTAAACTTAATGCTCATAGTCCAGCTATTATAGCCACTTCCTGGGCCTGGATCTTTCAGACAAGGATATTTTGCTATCAAAGCAGCAGCCACAAACTCGATCTGCTTTATACTTGGATAGGCAGTGAATGTAAACATTTTCTGGGCCAGAGAATTGAGTATTTCAATCTTCATCTCTCTTGACATTGTGAGGAGAAGCTTTCCATTTTCTTCAAATTCCTTATTTGCTCTATTGAGACGTAGTTCTACATCATAAGCAAACTCCGGAATCTCAAATTCAGGTGGCCACTGTGAATTTCCCCGTTGCTTGACTGACACACTTGGTGAATTTTGCGCTGAGCTGCTTGAAGAGGAGGGCATGCTGGCTGTGTCTAAAGAGGAAATTGTGTCGGCATCTGAATCAGAGAACTTCTGGATGATCTTCAGCACAGCTCTATCACTTGGAAGTTGTGTTATTTCAGTTAAATTACAGAGCTCATTTCCAAAGTCTGGATCCTCAAATTGAATTACAAAGTCATTTTTTATTTCAACACCTTTCTTAAGGATTTCTTTCAATTGTTCAACTGAAGTGAGCTCTTCGGTAATATCCAGTCTTCTGATGTTGTCAAGGGCCAAAATCACGCGTAGACGCACCATCTTCAAAAACAGAAAACAGAACAGTGTTAAAAAAAACAAAACAAAAAAACAAAGTAAAGCCAACATTTTTAAACTGAAAGAAACCTCTTCACTGCAATCATGTTCTTTCCCTGAACTACATACAGTGGGAGTGGATGAAAATTAGGGCTGGGCGATAAAACGATAACGATATATATCGCGATAGACATGTGTTCGATATCAATAGAGAATGGGGTCGATAGAATGTTCGATAGTTTAACTTAACTCCGTCAGGAAAAACAGGAAGAAAACACCGGAAGTAAAGCCGACTCATAAGCGCATGGCATTGTGGGGGATGTAGGCAGAGGCTTCTCGACCAATAACAGCCGAGCAGGAACCGCAAAACTTTCTGGGAAATGCAAAAACACCAACAACCGCAGCATGCGTGGCGTCCATGGATCTATAGCTCGTGTTTCAATGCCGTGTCAATGGTTATGCACGTACGTGCGCGGAATAACATGTGCGGCGGCAGAGGCAGTGGACAGACCCGATGTATTCGGCGAAAGCAAGAGATTAACTTTTTCCTCGGGAAGCATGTGCGGCACAGAGCCACACGGAGCGGCCACGGGGACACAAGACCCTCAAACAGCTAAACCAGGAGCTAAACCAGGAATAAAAAACCAGGATTAAACCAGGACTAACAACGAGGGACACAGTGTGAACATATTCCTCCAGCCTCATCGCCCCGTGACTGTAAACAAGGCTGCTAAGGTTGGTTAGCCCACACGACAAATATATATATTTAGGTTTAAAAAAAAAACTCAATATATATCGTTGACCGATATGAATGACTTATATCGTGATATAGTTTTCAGCCATATCGCCCCGCCCTAATGAAAATCATTCAAGTCTTCCAGCTGCATTCATTTCACCAACAGCATAACATCTGTAGTGCTCATCGTAGCATGAAGAAAGCCTCTTGCAAAGAAAAGACGCCATGTTTGCATTCACGATAACAGTGACAATTTCAAAAAATTCAGGCAATCCGCCTAACTGACCAGAGGACAAAATCATGCCATTATTGAAGTGAATCCCATGGACCTTTACACCAGATGCAAGCATCAGCACCTCTTTGTTGGGATATTTTCTCTTGACTGCAGCCCCATAAGTTTCCTGTAAAGTACATGTTCTCACAGTTTTTACTTTTTGCACAGATAGTGGTGGTGAAAAGATACTGGGACCATTGAGATAATGTGCAATCATAAGCTGATGTTTGGATGCCAATGTAAGTGGAATGTTTTTAAAATTACGGGCATCTTTCACAACCCCTTTGAAATAGCTATGTTTCGCTTCAAATCTCATTGTCCAAAGCTCAACCAAGGGCCCAAAACAGCGGATCAAGTGTGGATAATGCTCCACAAAGTGATGCTTTGGTTTCAACTTCAGGTTGGGAAATGTCTGTTGAATGTCTGTTGAGGCCAGCTTGGCCTCAAGTTCCAAATAACTTGTGGGCTCTGAGTAAGTGGCAGTTTCAGGTACATTGCTCTCAGCAACACAGGACTGTGATTCAGGTATCTGTACTTGACTGGTGCCTTGTAATTGCGATTGTGTCTCTGTACTTTCTGAACGTGGAGTTTGAGATGTCACTCTAGTACTGAAATTGTCAAATCCATAAGACTTGTGTTTGCGTGATATGTGGCTGCTAAACGAACTGAGAACATTGGTTTTCAGGTTACAGTCCTTGAATGGGCATTGGACTGTGTCACAACTCTTCAAATGATTTCGTAAATGTTTTACAAAATCCAATGGCTGGCAGTCATTTTTTAAATCACATTTAAAATGGAAGTTCCCAACATCTGAAATGGCCGCCTTATGCGCCCTGCTAAGATGAGATTTTAACGCACCTTTTGTTTTAAATGTGCAGACGCAATCCGCATACACACAGGGTTGCTGCCAGGATCAACCTTGATAGTGATGTAGCCTGTAATGTTTCAGAAGGACGTCCAGAGCACTGTGGTCAAATGTGCACAGCTTGCAATGCATTACAACCTGAAAAATATAAAAATATATGAATTATTCACAATTTTGTAGAGTAGAAAATAAGATAATTATCTATAAAATGTATACGTATTATTTATTTATTTATCTGAAATGGCACAGTAAAAATTTAACAAACAACGAACCAAGCCTCAATGTAATGGGTCAGTTAGCATAATAGATAAATATGCATTACGTAAGCAAAGGACTGTAAAATAATAATATTTATTTATAAATATCCATCCATCCATCCATTTTCTTCCCCTTAATCCATTTCTAGGTCAGGGGGGTTGCAGTCAGAGCTGCACCCAGTCACAGAGCACCAGCCCCTCACTGATCCTCCTGCAGGTGCTGAGTCCACAGGAGCCTTGATCTTTCAGCAGGGGCTTCAGGCAAAGTGGGGTTAAGTGTCTTGCCCAAGGACACAACGACAGCAGTCATCGGTTGGAATCGTGAAGTAGGTCTTACGGTGGGCTCGAACTCACAACCTTCAGGCTCTAAGGCCAATGCTCTACCAACTGAGCCACTGTCGCCTTATTATTTATAAATAATATTGTCTAAAACAATGGTCAAATCACAAACCTGTACAGTATATATATATATATATATATATTTCAGTTAACTGTAAAATAGTCATTGCATTAAATCACCAATGTATATATGATAATGCAATATTTATCTTTTGTAATAACCCATTCCAAATAGCCTTCCACACAGACATTTTACTGTCCTTCAAGCACAATCTTAAATATTTTATAATATAAAGCCACGTATGTAAATGTATATGTAAAATAATATGTTCAGAAAAACACATGCAGGGATCAAAGTTAAGACTTTTCTGTGGCGTGTTTGTCCACTACTTATCGCGCACAGGAGAAAGCAACAGGTCTCTGACTGGCGCTGAGAGCATCTGTGTGCGAGAGAGTGCGTGCACGTCAGTGTGTGTGTATGCAGGGGCGCGCGGGCGCCACGTGAACAAGCAGAAGCCCTATACTGAGCGTGATCGCGGACAGGTGGCTTTATCCGTGCGTAAAAGGGGCCTTTACCTCGGACTCGTCACGTTTGGCAGCGCGGATGATGTGCTCAGAGCTCAAACAGTAAAGTGTGCAGCTCTGGGTGCGCTGACGCCGCGAAAGTTAATGCCAAAGCGAAATCGAAACTGTTGCTGCTCCGTGAAAAATGGCCACGGCACGCACGGGGAACGAGTGTCAAAAGCACACGACATCATTACACTAATCAATTGTTGTAACAGACCGATTCGAGACGTGCATAGAATCACACAGCCTAATGAGAGTCCACTTGAACATGCTGAAAACTATAATGGCGCCGACCGAGGGAGGCTCATACAAATATACACAATCCAGACTTTCACAGCAGATTCACGTACATTAAGTTTTCAGACGTCGAAACCAGATCGTTTATTACATGAGGGGAGGACAAATTACGGAGGCTTACTACTTGCAATAGTACAAGTAGCAATGATAATAGTAGCAAAAGTAACGAGCCATACTACTCTAAGAATTTTGAAAAAAGCGTGGGTGATTCGGAGAACCAAGCGATGTAAACGCATATTAGGTCATTTGACAGAAAACCGTGTTTCAGAAGATAATGTTCCTTACCTGGGAGATAGGGTGGGTAGAGTTCAATGGCTGCTTCTCTCAGGCACATGGTGGTGTGGTGGGGCGGAGCTTGTAGAAACTGCAGGGGCGGAAACCCCCTACAATTTACTTAAAGCGCAAGCGCGAACAAATAGCGGTCAAGGATTGGTATGAGAAATTGCCAAAATAATTTATCTCAACTTTTCGTTTTGCAGTCACTGAACAAAGCAACAAATTAACAATGATTAATTGCGTTTGTGAGTTGACTAAGCATTTAACAGGGTTTGAACATTCACTGCACTTATATTTCTAAGTTCAGATAACAAATAGCAAGTTGGGTTTTTTACAGTGCAGCGATTATAAACACGAGCCAACAAACATTTAAACACGGTGAATCCTGAGCACACGGAGTCAAGAAATAAATTGTTGTTTCTCCCATCGTGGTTTGATTGCTCTGCAAAAAGGTATCGACACTGACCCATTGTGTGTGGGATTGTTTCTCAAATGGAAGTGTGAAGTCCTGCTTATTTT